TCCTGTTTATTGAAATAGGAGAACTGAGAAAGTAGTTTCCTTTTTAATTTTATTATTTTTAACTATTTAAAAGAGTCTGTTTAAGAAGAAAATCGCAAATACGCAATAAATTCCTCACTTTTGTTCTGGGTTCACGTCCCTTGGAAATTACGTCGCCCTAGGAGGATGTCCTGTCTCCCTGGTTAAGAACCGCTACGCTAGAGGGGAAACAACTCATATTTAGGGAGGAGTTGTATTCCCTAGGGAAGACAACTAGAAGGGACAAATTCGCCTAACAATGGAGAGAGAGGCCATCCTAAGTAACAGCAAATTCAGCTCTGCTGGAAATCCTTCAAGCCGCTTTAGTTACTGAAGCTAGAGTGGAATACTTGATATCCTTATTGCCTTACTGAAGTTTCTCAGCCCTGGCTGATACATCTCATTACCTCTTTATGTGAAAGACATTCTGTGTGACTGACATTGTTCCCACAATGCAACACTCGGAACCGTGTAGACTCACACTGCGGGTGTTCCCACATTGTAACTATCACAAGATTAAATATTCATAATTTATCACCCGTGTATGAGAGCATTTGTACGCATTCGTATCCATTACAAAAATATATACTACTTTGTAAAACCATACGTAGATTTCTTAAATAAAGCTCATCTTCAAATATATAGCCGCACAATTTCAATTATTTTTAATATATATAAAAAATTAAAGTCTTGCGCAGTAAGGAATTTGTCTTCCCCAAGACCGGAGACGGAAGGATATTCTTCGTCCTAATTATCTAGATTGATTTCTCAGCCACGTTACAAACTGGTGAGAACATTTTGGTGTGAATAGCAAGGCGGACACCATTTTTCTCAGTGGCAACAATTTTCCTAATGCACCCACTGCGAGATTAATAGAAAACGGCAAATGGCGCTGGGCTGGCAGATCACCTTTCTCAAGCGTCTCTGTTTTTGCCAGACAAAAAATCAAGCAGTGTGCAAGAAGTTCGCACCAAAATTACGATATATTTATTTTTGCGTTTAAGGCTTGTCAGGAGTGTTCATGAAGAACCGTTAAGAGCAGGGGAGCAGCTACGTCATGACGTAAGCTAATGTACCTCATTTTCACTAGTAATAAATCCTGACATATAATACATCATAAACGCTGAAGAATAACCTAAAATACTTAACACACATTCCGTAAATGTTCTTCAACAAATATTTAAAATAACACGAAACACCAATACTCGCAAAAAGTATTAACAACAATAACGAATTGATGCACAAATAACCGGACACAGAAAGCAGCTTACGACGATGTGTCGGTCCGTCTTGGACCATTGTGACTTTGTAAAGGGTCCAAGACGGACCGAAACGTCGTGTGCGGGTTATCTGTGTATTGTTCCAGTCATTATATTGTGCCTTTTTGTTCTTCATAACGAACTGATCTTCAAAAAATAATGAATTTTCCCTGGCTGTCGTTGTGAGAAAGTTACTGCCTCTTAAACTGCCAACAAGGTAATTTCTTCAGCGGGAGCAGTGAGTGAGTGAGGCAGTATTAGAGATCGACTTATCACTACATGAGAAATTGTCTCGTTGACGCGCTTAATCTCACCCTAATCAATTACCTGATTAGTTCCTCTGTTAAACCCGAAGCCTTTTTACTTATTAGCCCTGAGGTGGAGCCTCGGGATCCCAACCCATTACTTTTATCACTGGACTTCGTGATTTTCCTTTCCTCTTTCGTCTCCCTTTCTCGCTTTTTCACACTTTCTTTCATAACTTTTTCTGTGGCCTTAAAACCATTGAAACTGGGGGACTTTTGATGAATTTTGAGCGTTTTGGAATCCTATTAGTTTCTCGTTGCTTCCAGATATAGTTTGGAGGGATTCTTTTGGTTTTGAAGGAGAGAGCGAGTGAATTCTTGAAGGGCCTGGCACCCCTCTTGGAGGTGATGGCATGAAAAATTACTTTCGACTTCCTAAATGGAGTGGGTGGTTCTCTGGCCCCTCAACCTGATTACTGCCGCCCACGCTTGATGTAGCGCCACCCATGGGTGTAACCAGCCATGGGGGCATGTAATGACACCCATGGGTGTATGCAGTGCCTCCCATGGGTGTTTATACTGCCTCTCGTGGTTATATGTAACAACCCATAAGTATATATAACCACTCGTGGGTGTGTGTAACCACCCAAGGGCATATGTATCCGCCCATGAGTGTACGTACTCACCTCTTTTGTGGTTATATGGGTCGACTCTCAACTCTTGGCTCAGCCACTTGCCGAGTTCTCTTCCTTACCTCGTTAACCTTATCCACCCTATAAGCTACCAGCTACAGGATAGATATAGAGTATGCAAACTAGCCGCTGCCGTCTATAGGATGTATTTGGTGAGCAATGAACTAGCCGCTACCGTTTACAGACTAGACAAAGTGCACAATAAACTGTTTCGACGCAAAATGTAGCCTTTATCAAGTGATGGTTCCATGCTAGTGCTTCATACTCCTAGATGAGCCTAAAATACTATTTCTGAAATGAGCCTAAAATACTATTTCTAAAATGCTATTTCTGGAAACTAGTCTTCGATTTCCCAGACAACTTTTCGTGGTATTATTCTATTGACGTGCTCTTCTGGTGATATGCTCGGCACTGTGCTTACCTTTAGAGCTGCCTCCTTGAGTGAGGCTAACAGATAATGCTTCTCAGTTTCCGGTCTTCTTTCACTATCCCCGGTTTTCATAACCTTGCAGTCGTTGGGGTTGACTTGCAGCAAACACTTGACTGACCAGTCCAGCAGTTTGTCCAGGTCATTAGCATCCTTGCCATTTGTAGTCTTTTATTGTCCCTTGTAGTCTTTTTTTGCCATTTGCAGTCTTTTCTTGTCGTTTATAGCCTTTTCTCGTCCTTTGTAAATTTTTCTTGTCCTTTGTAGACTTTCCTTATTATCTGAAGTCTTTTCTTGTGCTCTATAGTCTTTTCTTGTCCTTACCGTTTTTTTATTCTCCCCATTAACTTTTACGTGTAAACAGAGATTCATCTGTACTTTTTGGTATGTAAGTCATTTGGTGTTAGAGCCAGAAACAACACTGGCTCTAATACTCAATTTGTTGCACCTTCCTATTCACTGTTATTCCTGCTTGATTAAGTTTTCGTCTCTGTTTCTTGTGAGGTGCAGCATCAAACATCATCTTGCGCTCCAAGAATATGCAGTCCTATTCCTCTTTCTACTGTCACTCAAACCCGTGTCGGATGTTTATGTTATCCAGTGTCTTAAGAAATAACTGGAATTTCCAGTGATTATACAGTTAATATGTCACTGTTGTGGGATAGATTCGTCAGTCAGATTTTTCAAAGTTTTTTTTCCAAATCTTCTTAGTCAGCATTTTTTTGTTTATGTTTTTGTGTTAGGTTAAATTAGTTTGTCGTCTATCAGTACAAATTAACCAAGTATAGCTTACCACAACGCCAGATTAGATTTTTTTTATTTTTACCACCGAAGTGGCTAGGTTATTGTGCACCTCCATATCCATCCTGTGGATGGTAGCACAAGAGCATATGGATACACAAAAGGCCTAGGAACTAGGCCCCAAAAGGGTTAACAGGACTACATATGGATTTATATGTATAGTTCAATTATCTGATAGAAGCAAATTTTGGAAAATTTGCTTAATATATCTGGTATCTTATCACAAAAACTGCAAATAAAATGCAAGATAATAATAATAATAGTAATACAAGTACATGTAGATTTTGAAATGTGAATAGAAAAAGAGGATCCACCGAGCGAACTAGAAAACACAGCCAGATAACAATTTCAGAGTCTTGAACAGTCATCTGTTTGACTGTTTTAGCAGCAGTGAAATGCTGTTAGAGGATGGGCTGGTATATGATACCACTTCTCTTCAAGAACTCCACCACTGTCCTGATTATCTTCTCCATTAAACTAATACATAGTATGTCAGTGATGCTGGTCTGTAGTTTAGCACCTCTCGTCTGTCTCCTTTCTGAAATACTGAGAATACATTTGTTCTCTCCTAGATCTCTGGCAGCTGTCCTGTATCCATTGACGTGAAGACTTTAGCTAGTGGATCAGATAGTGCTCACCCTTCCTCTGTTGTGGGTGTGTTGTTCAGTAACAGCCTGTGTGTATATGTAATCGTTCATGGGTGTATTTATCCCCCAGTGTTACATGTAACACTAACCATATATGCATATAGTTACCCATGAGATTATGCAGTGGTTTTGTTATGGAATGAAAAAAAGTGAGGTACGTCTGACAGTACTAGGGTACGTGTGTGTACTCAACTAGTTGTGGTTGCAGGGGTCGAGTCATAGCTCCTGGCCCCGCCTCTTCACTGGACGCTACTGGGTCACTCTCCCTGAACCATGAGCTTTATCATACCTCTGCTTAAAGCCATGTATGGATCCTGTGTGTGTGTGTATGTGTGTGTGTGGCTACACATTCGGAGCTACAGTACTATACTCATGTTGTCTTTATTAAATCATTGTAGATTAATTTAAGTCTTGGTGATGTTGCAGCACGCTGTACCTTCCCCTGATGAGCATTCTAGTTGGCTGCCACCAAGTGAAAAATTATGTGTGTCTTTTGTTCACTGATTTTTCAGGAATTTAACATTGTGAGCTGTTGATTATGGCTGGTGACAGTTTCTACACTCGATGGGTGCACTGATGCCGGGGATGGCTCTTCATCCAAGGAAGAGGAACTATCAGTTTCCTTGGATGGAATTTGATTACTTTCCATTCCTTGGGTGCTCTTTGGCCCATACTAGTTTAGCGTTTTTCATGGTTTCTTTTTCAATGGGAGTACTAAACCATAGAGGGTCTATGGGTAACGGGGAGCAATCAGATTTAATCAGAGGAAAGAACAGCTCAAATTGGTTAGATAAGGAGCCTATTTTTGTCATTAAGGCACCGCAATGCCCCTTTTTACCCTGTGATGGTTGTCCGAATGTAATTATGTCATTGTTTCTGTACATTTTGACCCATGACCTGTCCTTCCCCAGGTACAGTGGACCTGTGAGTGAGGTCACCAGTCTACCTGTGGACTCCCCGCACTCAACCCCCAGCAGCCACCACTGTCTCCCTAAGAAGAGTGAGTACATGTTTCTGTCTCTCTTTGTATAGGAGGTAGGGAGGGAGGGAGGGGATGTAGCGAGACTGCTTCCTGCTTAACGGAAAAAGGCTCGAGCCTTCACCTCTATTTGTTAGGATGGAGGGTCGATCTTCCACCACTGTTGGGATGGAGGGTCGATCTTCCACTACTGTTTGTGGCCCTTAAAAACATATCTACTTTAATAGGGATATGTAAACCAAGGAACGCCAATTAAAATAAATGAATGGAAACAATCTGATTAAAATTTAATAAATCATATTCTTATATTGCACCGAACCTGTAAGGAAGACGAAGCTCTTGGAAACAGCTTAAATTAGCACGATCGCTAACCACATAGATTCCCAACAACTGCATAACACATGGGGTCACAACAACTGCACTTCCATGAAGTCACAACAACTGAACTTCCATGAAGTCACAACAACTGAACTTCCATGAAGTCACAACAACTGAACTCCATGAAGTCACAACAACTGCACACCACATGGAATAACACCTGCACTCTCATGGAGTCATAACACCTGCATTCCCATGGTGTCACAACACCTGCACTCCCATGGAGTCACAACACCTGCACTCCCATGGAGTCACAACACCTGCATTCCCATCAAGTCACAACACCTGCACTCCCATGGAGTCACAACACCTGCACTCCCATGGAGTCACCACAACTGCACTCCCATGGAGTCACCACAACTGCACACCACAGGGGGTCACCACAACTGCACTCCCATGGATCCACACCCAGGGTAATATAGGTCTAGAGCAGGTCTCAAATACTGGACCATTACATATATGGTCTTAGATGCACTGGAAGACAAAATGCATATGTTAGTATGAACGAACTTTGCTAAAGCCTTCGACAAGTGCGATGGTGAAGTAACAGTGCGCAAGATGCGTACAAAATGAATAATTGAAAATGTTTCCAGATGGATTCTTAACTTTGTAAAATATAGAATGAAAAGAATAACAGCGAACATAGTTAAGTCATAGACTGCCACGGTGAAAAGCTGTTTCCCAGGGCACAGCAGTCGCCTCTAGCCTTTACCTCGTCCTCATATCTGAGAGACAAGGACATATCACAACACAGTTTTATCCTTTGCTGACAATTTGTATGAATGACATCGGCTGGAGACACAGCAGATATTAATTAAGCACATATAAAGCAAGTCTTCCAGTGGGACACAGAAAACAATATGATGTTAAATGAGGACAAATTCCATTTGCTCCTTTATGGAATAAAATGAGGAAATACAAAAAAGAACGGAGTATAAAACTAACCTCTCGATAGAACGATAATACTAATGTGAAGAACTTAGGAGTGATAATATTAGATGATCCGATTTGCAAGGATCACAACAGTGACATTATCACAACCGTGAGGAAAATGATAAGATGGATATCGAGAACTTTCAAAAAACGAGATGAAAAGTCAGTGATCTTTAAGTTACTTGTTCTGTCTGGCTATAATATTGCTGTAGAGCAATAACTCATTTTAAGGAGGTGAAACTGCAGACTTAGAAAATGTAAAGAGGAAGTTCACTGCACGTTTAAGTTTAGTCAAGCACCTAAATTGCTAGGTCCGTTGGAAGTCTCAAACTGTAATCCTTGAAATGTAGGTGATAAAGAAACACCTAATTTTCACCTGGAAAATTATAAGAGGGACTTGACCCAAATCTGCTCGCATATAAATCACTCCCTACGAAAGCAAGAGGCTCGTCAGACGGTGCAAAATGAAAAGCAGGGATATGATGAGAACACTAAGAGAAAACAAGAGAAAACATAATGAGTACAAGGGGTCCCAGACTTTTCAATACCCTCCCTTCATATATATGGAAATTGCCACCATATCAATAGCTGTCTTCAAGAGGGAACTAGATATGTTTCTCGAGACAAGTCCTGATCAGCAGGACTGTGGTTCGTACATTGGATTGCGAGAAGTCAGCAGCATCAGCCTGGATAATCAAGACTTGATTTTATAAGCCTGGTCTGGGACCGGGCCACAGGGGTGTTGACCCTCGAAAACATCCTTCAGTTAACTGTCAGGTAAGATAGAGGGAAGCTGTCGGAAAAGCAAAGTGATTAATGAAAGAGCTTGAAAACTAACACACAAATTTAAAGTTGGCCGAACAAGTCAGTTTCAGTCAAAAATGTCATAGTGTCTGCAATAAAGGCAGCGCTTTCTTAAAGTAGTCAAAAGAGAGAGCCCAGACGTTCTGCTTCATAAATGGCGTTCACAAGAACAGGCGCCAGGTGCCTCTCTCCTTGTGAACGTCCAGCGTGAGTCTAGTGTGGCCAATCCGCAGATGTGCGAGAACAATCTCCCAAATGCGACAGCGATAAAAAGAATTCAACGATGAGCTCAATTTTAGTTTAATAAAGATCATCTGGTTCCTCTCTAACCTAGACCACTGTCAGTGCCAGCGATCCCAAATACTCCTAGACAAAACTGAAAAATATTCTGAACAGCGTACATCCCTGTGAGAGATGAACAAGTTCTGGACTGCAGAACGTGCGGAAGGCCTCTGGAAAGTTCATGCCCATGACACCAGAATGACCAGGGATCCAGCAAAAGAGAATGTCTTTGTGCTTGCTGTGGAGGCGATACGGCCAGCTTTGAATGCGAAGGATGATGGAAAGTGAGGAGTGAAAGCTTTTGAGGATCCTATAATTCACTTTGAGAATCAAAGATTACAACAATAGAAGTAGGAAGAAAAGCATTGCGGATGATAACTGCAAGAGGTACGAATAACTCTGTTGTGAAAATACTCGCCAGATCTAGTAAGCGCCTCTGCATTACAATATCTAGAAAAAACTACTATTTATTCTACACTATTAGAAGATTTAGAGCAGCAAGTGTACACAACAGTAATAAGTGTAAATGAAATTAATCACGAGAAAAGGAGAGTACGTCCATAGAAGAGATACGAGACAATTGAAAGGCAAGAATGGAAGAACATACTCTCACCATCGGTATCTCCCAAGGTGCAATAGAAAAGATAAGTTCAGCTGATTCCTTTTATTAAATGAAAGCGATAAAATCTATCGGCTCTCAGAAAAAAAAGTTATAAAATGTTAAGTAAATTCAGTTTCGAAGCTTTCAGGATCGATACGTGGGATTTTCATGACATTCTACAAAGTGGAGACCAAGACAGTTTGTCAAACCGGGTTATGGGAACCATATTGGAGAGTGCGGATTAAGGAATGACCGGGAGTAAATATAACTGAGTTAGTGTTAGACAGTGAGAACGTGAAGATATGTGATGCAGCCCAGCTAGATGTGCAGTCGACAGTACTCTGTAAAGAGGTGGAAACTTGCTGAATATTTGTCTCAGCACAAGCAATGGCGAAATCATCCACATATAAAGAGAATTAAATTCTCCGAAGTAGTACTGAGGCTAGACGCTTTGTGTTTGAACAGTCGGGAGAAGCTGTTGTTGATACCAACTCTGAGGTGTCGATTTGTCATGACGGCTAAGGAAAAGTACGAGTTAGCCTCATAAGCCGCCAAAAAAAAAAAAAAAAAAAACTGCGATAAGATGCGATATTGATATTCAGTGTTTTAAGCCTAAGTCGAAAAAGAGACTGTCATCACAAGCACTCTCAGCAAAGGCATCGCAAATGTCTATATCGAGCAGGAGTACAGACTAAGAAACTGAATGGTCACTTCTGTATTTAAACTAATGTGAGGGATGTACAGCCGCGTGTCTCCCCCAAGCTCCACTGGTTTCCTGGTAACCACATGTTCCATTAATTTACAAATGGTGTAATGATCGTCTATAATGGGAAGGATCTCGCCCCGACATACCTGATTTTCGGAGAGGAAGGATAACAAACAACTTTCACTGCACGGGTATGATGTAACAGTCTGATGAGAAGCTGTTATTAAGCCAGACGAAAAGCTAATAGGAATGAGCTTGTGAGAGAGGCTTAAAAATCAAATCTGATGACATTAAAGGCTAGAGGAATCAGGGGAAAACATAATAGTGACATATTTAATACTTGGAGGACTTGAGACAGCACAATTGGAGTAAGTAGGAGGTACAGTCCATATGTTTAAGAATATATACCAGAGACGGACTGACAGACAGACAGACAAACACAGACACACACACAGACAGACACACGAACACACACATATCTAAGCAGCTCCACCTACATCAAACTAGCTACTACCATCACAGAGTAGGGAAGCCAGAGACGCACGGATCCAGACGCCAGGCAATAAAAAATTCTCAGTGTTCAAAAAGCTATCCGGCACAGATCAAAGCGCGACCCTGGAGATTGCCGCGACTTTGATACAGATAACTTTTATTAAAAACGGAGACCGGTCGGGCCTACCCAAGCTTTAGACAATTTTTAATTTGCTTTCTCGGATCGTGTGTGTGTGTGTGTGTGTGTGTGTGTGTGTGTGTGTGTGTGTGTGTGTGTGTGTGTGTGTGTGTGTTGTGTGTGTGTGTGTGTGTGTGTGTGTGTGAGTGTGTGAGTGTGCGCGCGCGAGTGTATGTGTATGTGTATTTATACATTCAAGACAAGCTACAGGGGTGGAAATCTTCAGCATAAGTACTTTCACGTCTCCGTGCGTCATCAGGAGATATGCAAGAGTAGCAATAAGAGAAATGAAGAGAGGTTTTCTCAGTAGGGTAGCATGGTCCAACCTTTCCTAGGAAGACCCCTCACCCCCCCCCCCCTTACTTCCACTACAGATTCATAGACACTCCAAGTCATTATCTTTTGTTACATCCTTTCTAAATATCCAAAACCACCTCGACAACCCTCCATATAATATTTTTAGAAAGCCTGCACCTCCTTCTAAGCTCCAAAAGACGGAATCTCTGCACAATATTCACACCTCACGTTGACATCTTCACTGCCTCCAGCCTTCTCCTTGTTGCAACATTCACCACCCATACTTCACGCCCATATAAGAGCTTTGTTAGAAGATGGTTTCCTCATATTACAACTTAGAAATCCATAAA